TGCAGTTTGAAATGTCAGGGATATACTCGAGATAATACAGAGTTAGGAACGATTGAAGAAGTCAGGAAAATCAGCAGGCCCTAACGCGATCTTCGCCAAATTTTCGGTGCTGAAACTCCGAATATTTGCGGTAAATATTGTGTCGAATTCTGCTGATTTTCATGAAGACATTGCCGGTGCTTGAGTTGAATAAGAATAATTTACACTTTTCTCAAGTACAGTAATTCCGAAAAATTTTCCCTCACGGTATTTCTCTCAACTGCCTGCCCAACATCAGGGTGCGACAGTAAATGTGACGAGAGCGCAAATTGTCGACGGGGCTATATTCTAAGTTTCTTCGGCTGCTTTTCTGAATTGTTTTTCAACTGCATTAGTTTTTTAATTGGGGGTTTCTGATGAACGTACCGTCTGCTGCGTTCGTCGGCAGACATGAGACTGCTGATCGATCCGCATTTGACTTGACGCAGTTCCAAAACATCCGCTGCTCGACGCGGATTCCGCGATGCCCGAGGCCAATCAACCCATTGCTCCCCAGCTCGAGAAGAATGCCCTGGACTTTTGCTTGGGACATGGTTCAGATGTTTCCGATGCGAATACCCCGAAATGTCCGGGAATTCTCCCTGACGTCGTCTGGGTTCTCTAGTAGGAGTTCCATGAATCAAAACAGTTTCAGCTGGATGAATGAAATGATGGTGTTGACTCGCGGATGTTTGCTTTCGTGGGGTCCCGGGCAAAGACCAGGTAACTGGGGAACCCGGGCTTTGTATGAAGTCCATCGTCGTTCCAGGAACGTGGACCTCGTTTGAGAGCTGTTTTTTCTCTACCGTTGTGTTGATTTTGTCTCGGAATGCGGTCCCAGTCATTTTTTCCTGAAAAACACCAACGCGCCCGGTCGCATTAAATTTGCAAGACCTAAGGAATCAGGTCAACTCCGAGTACTAAGCCATGTCCATTAACGACTCGGAAGTCTGCTGCTTCGGTTGAAAAACGCTGTTCCTTTGTTAAGTATGTCTCACTGAAACGGTACAGTTCTTCAAACATGTCTCACAATAAATGAATAAACTCCTATTGTTGCCTTCAAAATTTTCACAATCTGAAAAATAATTTGGTTCGACATTCACGAAGGTCATTCAAAAATCAAAACGTTATCGACCGTCTGATGAACGTTAAACTCAAAGCAACGGTTGAATCAAAAAGCTCCTTTTATTTTTCTACTACAGTAATTATCAGCTGACGTATACCCCCCTCCCCCTTTCTGTGTTTCGGCAGCTTAATGCGTTTTCATCAACCAGATATTAATTATGAATCATGAATGCGAAAAAAAGCGTTGGAGTTCCGCATCGCCGTTCGCATGATATTTTAAAAATCTTATATGTACTGAAATATAAAAATTTAAGATTTCCTTTTTAAGAGGTAGCAGAAAATCTACTCAACGGGTGTGATTGTGTAGTATTGTATAGTTAGTGTATAGTATGTTAAATCAAAATATTGGATACACCAAGTGCAGAATAGACTGAGAAAAGTGTTAAAGTAAAATACTGTAGTTCATTTCAATCAATGATATTGCCTGATATGAATTACTGTACGATTCAAGTTATTCGATCACACACAAAAATGGCAGCCTCGAATAAACTGAAGGATCACTACATTTTTAATGGCCGACGAATGAGTAAGAGAGTAACTTGAAATGGTCGTATTTTCACTGCTCTTCCATCGTTAGGCTAATAAGAAGCGAACAAACAAGGCAGTAGTACAATTCTACTGCACACAGTAACTACTACTCCTGAGAAGGGTATTTAAGATTAATAAATTTCATTAGGAAAATGTATTTATGTGGTAACTTCAATCGTTCAATAAGGGAACTTGTAATTGTTGAAACCCGGTCTACTTTCTCCTGGGAAACAGCACAGGTATAAATTTAAATTAAATCCGTAAACGTGCCTTCATGGTTGCAATGGGGCATTTGAGCTTGCCGCCCTCGCTGACGGGAGGAATGTCGACGGGTGGATGCTCCCCGTCAGTGGCGTCATCTCGGGCTGGTCCAAGGTAAATGACAGTGTCGCAGCTTTGCTCGCTGCTCGAGGGGTCGACGTCACTCGACGGAATCGCTGGTTCAAGAGCCCCCATGCATCGACCGACTTTCGAATCGTCACCGGAGCTGCCCCCGGAGCCACTCGCGCCAGGAACCTGGAGAAACGAAAATTTCGAGAAAAAATGAAGTTATTTATCGACCGCGGCGCCGATTAGCGTCGACCCGAAGCAAGAACGCGATAAGAAACGCGACTCGCCTTGATCTTCATTCGACGCAAGCGATGGATGCGCGATGACAGCTGGATAGTCGTCATCGTTTCCGGGACATGTGACAAGCCGGCGGATATGTGAGCAATGACGGTCGTCTGGCAAGTCAGCGACGAGAGGCATTTCTGCACCAGTGACGTCAACGGGTTGTCCCTGTGGAACCCAGGAAGCGATCACAATGTGTTCCGTGTCGAGAGGAAATTCGTTTCAGTTCTGTTTTACCGATGAGGCAGATGCTTGCTGCCATTGAATACGGAGACGAGAATGTGTCCGATTGCAGACGCTGACAGGCCCGTTCTGCCTTGAGTGTCTCCTCCTCCGAGGTCGAGGATATGCAGTTCGCCTGTTTCTTCTCCCACTGTCAAAATTATATGCACACCTGATTCTTGGCAGAGACCATGTACGAGTAAAATATCACACACACACACACAAACACTGTCTCCTTTTACGTGGGATGTTTCGAAGCAAGCTCCGCGAACATCGCTCGAGTACTCAGATTTCGAGATTTTCTTTCGATTTCCTCTTCGTCAGCAGATGTTCTAAAAATGTTACACGTTCCCAGATTTACTTTACGAGACTATAATCACGTCTAGTCATCGGCTCCGGTTTTCTCATGGGAAGTGCGAGTGAGTTACGCACACAAGTCAAAATTATTACTTGCGATTCCTCACTTGAATGCTTTCCATTCCTTTATGCAGCCGGTGAAATTCGCTAGCTTAGAGTGAGGAATGCCACGTTTTTACAATTAAACGATTTAACTCTTTTATCCCAGACGATTTACTGAAACGAACTTGGATGCTACTCATACTCGAAATTTCTTGGGAAAAAAAACAGAGGCTATAGAAGGTGTTGTCTGCTGGAGCTTCGGCAATTGGAAGAAATGCTGTACAGTGCTGTATCGAAGAAAAATATGGCAGACAAAAATTCTGACATTGGCAAAGCAGCCAGAAGACCCAACCGCAGGAATCTTAAAATTTGTTCGGCAGTTTCGTTATATTCCAATAAGTGTTATTACGAAACCCACGAACAGTACCCTAATATCCTCCAAATTTTTACGAAAGTTAACGAAGCAAGTGCATTATTGTTTTATGCAAGCATTAGCCTTAGTTTCGACTAAAATGTATTATATTGAGCGGACTAAGCAGAATTCTTCCTCCTCAAATGACTTCCCAAAATCAGGAAGCGGATTACAATTGGATAAATATTTATGGCATACACTCGATATAACCAGGGAACAACACAACATTGTTATGTGATATCTTAATTCAAGGAAAATGCGGAACTGGGTTCTGATTACTGAAGCATCAGTGAGGAGAAGATGATGAGTAACCATTGAAATTCTTCAATACGGAGAATATGCGATGCAAAGAGGGTAAGCATTGCTTAAAAATCTAGACGAGGAGAATAAATACTCGTACGTATGCAGATGTATAAGAAACACACGGAAGCCTCCTGTGAATCGCAATTATTTTTTTTTATAAAAGTCGTGGATTAAAAAAAATTTTGAGGACATTTTTGCTTGAACGCATTAATCAACGTCTTGATTTTTCCGTGTTCACGAGACACACATTCTGAACTGTACTTAGTCGTTCGCATAAGTTTGACGCACTCTGAGACACAATTTAAAATTGAAATTTTGAGAAAATAGATGTATTCAATGACAAAGTGATGCAACGAGAACATTGCGTTGATTTTATTCTTTTCCTGTTGAATAATCAATTCATCACGCCATCTTCAAGACTGCAGGGAAATAACATACTCGGCACCTAATGTTCAGTTTTATCACGAATAATGAATGGCACGTCAGCCTACTGACAGGTTGCTGACGTTTCGTCGATGGTAAATGCTTTTCTTTCCTCGGATTAATATCATCAATCATTCCATCATTCATTCAATGCTCTATGAAAAAAGCAACCAAAGACTGTCAAATTTATTCTCGGTTCACTTTTCATTGGTCTCGTGGAAAATCCACTTTTGTTCTGCTTTTCACGCGCGAATTTTAGGAATTTTCTAGCACATTCGAGCTTTCGAGAAACAAGTTTTTTCGCAAGAAATTTTCTTGGGGTAGTTGACAAATTTATGCGGTTAGGCTGCCCTTTTAAAACGAGACCACATAAAATGTAAATATTTCTAGAATTAAAATAGGGGCTTTTATTTCCTACATCCAAGTACTTTATATAAAGGTAGTACGATTCAAAAGAAAGAGTGTGGCTCGAATAAAAATATAAATTGAAAATGCTATCCTCCAAGCACTTTCTGTTCAAAGAAGAACCGTAGAAGCAGCGGTTCTGAGAAATCTAAAAATGATTCATCGTTTCTTTGAGAATATCGATTGAAGTAGAAAATGAATTCATATATTTTTTTCCAAAATTACAGTTTACACTGTTCTCTCGAAGAGTAGCCAAAAAAATAGGAAAAAGCTGATGAGTACAGTACTCGAGGTGAGTGTCACCAATGCCTGAGAAATATGGTGAGGCGTTTCATCAAAATTTTATTGAAAAGGCCGCCGGTAAAAAAAAGGGGGGGGGGTTTGACTCACGAGAATGAACATCCGGAAAACGTCCGTGTGCTTTGATATGAAACGTGAATAAAGCGTGGGTCGTCGGCAGCCATTTTCTCCTCGACAAGGCGCGATCCAGAGTGGCCAAACCCGAATTCAAGTCAGGTATCTCTAAAAGGACGGGCTCGGAAACCGGAGAAGCATGCTCTTCGCCTGCGGAGCAATCATATTTCCTCTCCCATTCCGAAGCAGTTCAATATCAAGCAATTCCGAAAATGACGAACCGTTGCGAAGCAAGTCGCGAGTTTCGCTCCCGGAAGCTGCGAAGATCTCCACAGCGGATAAGCTCATGGTGAACTTCTTGTTTCTCGCTGATTTCCTCATTTCCGTTACGCAAATAGTGAGCCAGGCCAGTGCCGTGGGCAACACACCAGCGTTGACTGCTTGTCCTCCTCCGGGTTCCACTCTCCGTCGCTCTCCGATTAAAGTGTGCGACTTCCCTGTGATCGAAATCCCATCAGTGCTTTCGAAGCTTGTCAAGGCCCCGTGGACTTCGGAACGCGAAATTGCAGTCGGTGTCTGTCAAGACTCTAGGGACGGGGTCGGAGTCGGGGCTTGTGTTGCGAAAGCGGCTTTAATCGCGTGTTCGCTCCGAGTCCACAACTCGCGAAACTTTGAAGACTTATTGAAGAGAATCACTCATATTTTATGCTACGAGCGATCGAACAGTGACTCTGAAGAAGCAAATTCTTATGTATATTGCCACACGCACGTCAGTCGAACTCCGACTCTACGGGCTGATCAAAAAGGAAACTTTTGCCCGAATAATCGAATGAAGTCAAATCTCTTTACGATGAAGTCATTGAGATCATTAAAATTCCATCTTCATAACTAAGTTTTCGCCATAAAGTCTTAATATTTCTTAAAATTTCTTGAAATTTCTTAAAATTTCTTCTAATGGGCAGGGACGTAAAACACGATTTCGTTGTAATCGATTATTCGTTATAACGAGATTCTATTGCATCCAGGATAATAATTAAAAACTGGAATTAATTTGAAGGATTACAATAAAATCATGCATGACCTGCATCAACTACGATAATACATTACTTGTAAGTCAATAATGGAAGGATAATAAAGCAAAGATACTATCTCCGCAATTTATTCTCCGGATTCCGTAGTAAAACGCGTCAAGTACTTGTTTCGGCCCAAAAAAAAATTCTATGAAGTTTTCGCGTTGATTGTGTTTACTGAATACAGTACTGTATTGAGAGAGCAACCAGCAACGTTTACTGCATCAGCTGAGAAATCATTTGAAATCATGCCATAATAATGGCTTCCAAACAACATCTCCAACTGATATGCTAATCGGTATTTTTTTTTCTCTGGTAGTGTACAGTATTGAAATTTGAAGATTTGTCAGATGAAAATTTGTTCAGAGATGAATAGTGACGCTTGAGTGCATTAAACCTTGTTATATCCCTCTGAGTCGGGTTTAATCTGGTTTATTCCAGTGTGGTTCACAAAATAAAGGAAAACTTGAAACCATTCCGTAGAGTCTGAACATTTTTCGTAACGTATATTTGGAAGAGCTATGGGAGAGATATGAAAAGGGAGAGAATCGATTCCTCTTGACATCTTCCCAGATTTCTAAAATTCGATATGAGCTGTTTAAGATGCAGATTTTCAAGGACTCGTTTTCCTAGCATCTCATTCGCTTCCTGGAAGAAATAATCAACAGTCCATTTGCATCAGGATATTCAGACGTCGCATGCAAATTGAGATGCGTAGCTTCAAGGTTTCCGACAAGAAAAGTCATATCGGACGAATCGAGGAAGAAAAGCTGCGTTACAGTTGATTATAGAACCAGGAGTTTGATTGCAGAATTGATTTACGCTCAATTTCTGTGGTGCAAATGTGCCATAACTGTAATTTATTTCATCTGCTGAATTAATGTTTACGAATAACCGCCGTGTAAAACTACTAAAACTACACCACACTATTACGGAAGCGAATCAATTTTCCCGGAATTTATTGTACTGTAGTTTTTATATCGATGCAGGAATTTTGATTATCCGGGCTTAGTTTTTTATTTGTTGATGGAAAGAAAATAGTTCACGATATACGCTTAAAATTCTACTTGAGTGCTTTGTTTCCCCTCGGTAACTTTTCAATTGCACTGTACATACCTGAGAACAACCCGATTACCCAAACCTGATGCACTCATGGTATTCTCCCGCTTAAGCGGAAATTCTAAAGATTGTACATTTTTGCAAACAAATTTACAGAAAAGGTCCGCGTGGATTCAGTGGTGGAGCCACGTATATGTGAAAGTCGATTTACTTGAAGGAGACCTCAATAGGTTGGAGGTGCTGCGGAAAATTTGATCTCGTCGCGGCGCAAATTGAAAATACCTCACACGTTGAGTTGAATATGTCGCGAATGAACGTATTTCAGTCACGTCGTTTATTTGGTACTTCCAGTGTGTAATCAACTCACCGAGTTTCGGGTAACCGTAGACGAGCACGCAACCAACAGCGCCGGTGGCGGCAGCCCGGAGCGGGCCCAGGAGAGCACACGTGCACAAGTCCGCCTGTGGACAGACAGTCAAAAGGAAGAAAAATTGTCGCTGAAAGACATGAAGTGCTGGGTGGTTCTGGTACTGCTGATACTAAAGTCTTCATGGGTGGCGTGTATTGAGGCGGCCACTATTACCCACTACGAGTATACCGGAGATATGGGAAACGAAGGACTGAGCTTCGTCGACTCGTTTCCTGATGAAAACATTCTCTTCTCGCGGCCTTCCAGGTCGAAAGAGGTACGTACATTTTAGTTACGTCCCCGCTATCAGACTCGCCATTTATTCTCTGCAAATCACGACCGCAATAATTTGTTCTATTCCAACGCCATTGACTGCCTATTCTGCTTTCATTCGGTCTGCTTTGTTTCGTCCCTCTGGTTAAGACGCACACGTTCTTGCGTGGAATTGAATCCATAAAATCCTAGGCTTTAGATATCCTTCTTACCTTCTTCTGGATATTTAGCTCATCTCACTACGTTGGATGAGACCACTTTCACCACACTATTCCATTCTTTTCTCTCCACTTCTTGAGTCAATAACGTAATGAATTGATTCTGCTGCAATTGATAATTGAAGAGTTTGAATTATATAAATATACACACTCCTGAATAACTTTCCATTATTTTTCAAAAAATTGGCAGTTTTCAAGTTTTCGTTATTGAAGAAAATACCTCAGTTTTAAGGCATGTTCTAAGAGCCGGTTGTTTTCATATTTTAAAGACCGCATTCCAGAACCTGAAAATGCTGTAGAGTGGAGTTCAGGCTAAGAGACTAATTTTTGTCACGTATATGTAGATAATGTATAATGAAAAAATCATCTCTACTCCTTATCCTAAGTTTCAAATCAATAAATCCGATTCATTAGTTCGTATATGGAATTGTTGAAAATTAATTTTGGATGGCTCCAATATTTGAGGCGAAGCTTACTTTTTCGTAAAATGAAGTGTCTCGTATGATTCTAGATCTTCTATATGAATAACTTGGATAGTGTTCGAGGTTCTGTATTAAATCTGAAATTTGAGCTATTGCTTAAGGAGACAAAGGGAATAAAACTGTACAGGTTCCATTTCGGGAGTTTAGAATCCGAAACGAAGGGAAGAGGCTTCAAATTGACTCAGGGCATTTTTAGAAGAACTTCCTATAGTCGATTCAATTTCTAAATCCGGGCAGAGGTCTAAATTAGATTAGCATCAGATCACTAAATAAAAATCCTCCATTCCACAGATAAGAGTTCAAGGCAAGATAACGTTGATTATAAGAAGTACCTTCAGTTTTTTTCTTTGACAATCAAAGCGATTTCACCGTCAAAAAACAAATACCCTAATCTCACTACAAAGACAAATTTAGAATAAATTAATTAACAGTATTCTAATCCTGGTCACTTCCCACATTTTCTCTGCTCCGCTGTTCCCCAGTTATGAGAGGCCCTTGCATATCTATCTTTCCCCCAAAATCGCTGTGGAGGGCAACACCATTTTCCCGATTGAGTATTCGCCACTTTTATTCAGGAGATTCTCTCATTCAATGTCGTCATCACCGCACATTACATGTGATCATTCACGAGGCGTACCCAAATTTCTGAAGGCAGATTTTCCGGTAAAAAGTCGGTTCATTGTTCGAAAAAGCGGGAACATTATCTTAAAGGAAGAAATACACTTTGTTCTACAGCCAATGTGTGGCCTGGTAACTGGGCCGAAGTTCAAAAAATGCGAGCAGGGTTTCTGCGCAATCAGAGAGGCGTCGCGTCGGGATCATCCCTGGCACGCCGCGATTTTCCGGGACCGAAACCTCTACGTTTGTTCCGGTGTCCTTGTGCGTCGAGACTGGGTTCTTTCGACGGCAACCTGCGTCTCGGGAATCGCAGAAAAGCGCCTCAAAGTACGCATTGGGTCCGTATCCATTCGCGGACTGTCGGACGGTGACGCGTGGGAGTCCCCAGTTGCGGACATCATTTCGCATCCTCGTACGTTCATCAAGACGTTCCTATTTGTCCCAACGCCATAAGGAACCGGGGGGAGGATGGTAACAACACCCGTCGTATTCCGTCTCGAGATAAAAGAACAAAAACGAAAGGGGGAAAAAGAAAAGGCAGGAGGAAAAAGTAGGAGAGCCGGCGGAATCTTAAATTTCCCACGGGGGCACGGCTCCTGTAGGTTTATTTCGCCTCGGGGCCGCGTCATGATTTATTCCAGTTCCTATGGCATTTTAATTTAGCTCTCCTCTAATCCTCATCTCTGGTAGATTTCAGTCCGTACTACATGCAGTATGACGTAGCCGCGTTGCGCCTACTGCTTCCCGTCGATTATGAGAACAGACCATACGTGAGACCGATTTGCTTGCCATTTTCTGCAAGAGATTTTTCCAGATATGACTGCGTGGCAGCTGGCTGGCATGCCTCACCCTCGAAGGAAATTTCGGAGACAATTCACGAAGAGTGAGTAATTTTAAATTCGCTTCATGCTTTCCGGGAAGAACGGGAGAAAGTTTTGGTATTGCACAAGTTTTTCGCGCATCATGAAAAATTATCTTGAATTGTGTTCCGGGATGTTCGGCTTCCCAGAGCTGATTTCCTCTTTCCAGCTTCACTATCGTCACATCGTCTCGTATTTTCTGCGCTTTTTATATGGCTTCTTTTGGCATTAACCGATCATGTGCATTTCCCTTGAAGTAGATTTAGGACATCTTGCTATTTATCACCACGTTTGTGTGGATCGAAGTAATATCTGCGTTTTCTCGCAAGAAACATCAGTGCAACGATTGTGGCATAGAGCTCCGATTACCTGAACTAATGACCTGCTGCCTCTGCTCCGATAATAAATGGGCACGGAAAAACTAATACTACTTAGAATTGTATTCAAAGAAATGAAGAATCCAAGAGGGAGCTAAAATAGTTGAATCTTCATCCCCGAAAAAGCTCGAACTTCCTTAACCAAGATAATTAGTGGACCAGATTAAAATAAATTTGCTCAAATTTAAATTGCAGGAAATAACGGTGCCTTCATTTCGATTGCCAAACACAATTAAAAAAATCATTTAGTTAATTCAACAGAGCCTGATTAAACAGAGCGCAGAAAGCCGATTTACTGTTTTTCACCTGACATTTTTACATTTCAGTTGACCTGATTTCGATGAGCCGTTCTGAAAGGCCAAGTGTATCAGAGTAAACGAATGCGAAGATGAGACTATAATCATAATGATCTTCAGTTAGCACCGTTCGCATACCGGCGGATTTTGTCAGTAAAAAATATAACGGAGAAATAATATAACAATGTGACGGGCAAGATTAATTGTTAAAAAATCGTAAATCGCAAGAAGCGGAAGGAAAAAGTTTTACATCATATGTTTGAAAAATGTCTGGAAAACAAATCTGGAAGAAGCGTGCCTAATACTACAGTAGGTAGTTTAGATCAGCTCGTGGTTTAATTTTCTCCTGAGTAATTTTTCCCAGTTTCATTCGCAATAATTTATATTTTGGGTGAGGACATGCGGTCATCTGCCTGGATAATTGAAGCATTCCTAAAAAGAAGCATTCATTTATTCTTTTACAAAAAACCTGCCCTATAAACTGACATTTTGTTAGCTTCTAGAATTGCTTCCAGGTCAATATTGATACGTGGCTCGCTGCGTTACATCACTTTAGTTCGATGGCCTTCGAACCGAAGTTGGCCCACGTGCCGTATTCCATACTGAACGGGTACCAGCTGGACGAAGATGGCGTCAGTGTGACGAGGAAATCGTATCGAAAGCTGTTGCTCGAAGCCGCAGTCAAGCTGACTAGCGAAGAAACGTGTGTGTACGCAGCTCAGGTCAGAGAAGAGCGGTTCATTTCCGACGGCCTGCGAGCTGGCCAGGGATGTCTGGCTGGTTACGAGCCAGAAAATCTCTGTATTGTAAGCCACTTTCCTTCCTTGATTCCTGCCTATACTTCTCTGAATGAACGCGTGGTCAATTTCTGAGTTCGCTCAGTCGTACTGAATTGGGACCCCGCAGCAGCTCCAGGAAAATTAAAGTTGACTGGAATTAAGAAAAGAGACAAACGCGGAGTAAATCGGCGTTTCTTCATGAGAGACTAAGTTATGGACCCAAGAAATGGCACCCACGAACAATACATGTTAGACTTCAACTAAGGGTGAATAGAAAAATACATAATTTGTATGACGCACCGCCGGAGAAATTCCCTCCAAGAACACGACCTCCGCGAACCCAAAAAGTGGGTTCGCGGATAAGTTCTGTAGTAGCTTATCCTCGGTGTATTGAACGTTATTTTTACATCTTCATTAAACTGGGAATTCTTGAAGATGTGCAGTGAGGATGAAAACTATTATTGGATCAATATTTGATCTTAGGCAACTAATGTGGCATACACCCTCACTAATTGAAGATTTTCAGCTCAATTTTTGAATACTTCAGCTATTGGGGTCGTTAAGACTCGGATAATTTTTCAACGCGTAAAGAAAAAGAAAATTTCATGTCATTCAATGCCCAAAGCCTGGTTTCAATTGATTCTACGCATATTCAGCTTCTATTCTGGTTAGTTTGATGGATGGCTTTATCTTGAATATTATCGGCTTTCCATGACAATTTTGCCGTATACTGCAGCATTGTTCTTCATAACAAAGCTGAAGAGTCGGCTTGTTGGAAATAATCCTACTTGAGGCAAAGAAAACTGTTGATTTGCATTCTAAATCCGGTTTAAATCTCACAGCTGCTCCTTAACTCGAATTTTCGTCAAAATTACCATCCAATGTAAACATCTGCCATAATAATTTCTTTAACGTACAAATTCGAGAGATTGTTTCGAATTTTTTAGGCTTATGCCAAATAAACTGAATTTTGTTATGCTGAACGTTTTATACTCAGTTAAAACCCCTTCACACATGGATTGTTCTTGATGATCCGAATGCATCTACTCTTGGGATACTGTTGGTATTAGACATGGGGAGCATCATTTGAAGCTCTTTTACTGTCCTTTTAAACTGAGCTCGAAAAGTTTTATCATCGAATGATGGATTGATGAATATCATGTTAAAAGCGACCATCTCTGGTTTTGGCGAGTGCGCGTTTGTTGCCTCAGTTTCAACCCTGTACTTGCTAACCATCTCCGGTAGATTTTAAGAAACCTGCTGCAATAAATCAGGGTTCATTCCGTGATTTTTTGCAGCCTGATGCAGGATCAGCTGTAGCTTGCCTGGGTACAGGAAATGGCTTATTTATGCCTGAAGGAGGTGCGTATCCGACTGCGAGACCTGATGTTCCATGCACGCCATATCCTCAGCTGAGAATGAGCCAGTTACTTCGTGCACAACGGAGTCACGAAGAAAAGCCTCAGTATTTTCTCGCGGGATTAACAACGTTTGTGGCCGGCTGTGAGGTCGACGACACGCGGCCACCGATTGCCATTTTTACTGATGCCAAAATTGTGTCTGAGTTCATCCGCGACCTGATCCTGTGATTTCCTTGTTATTTTTGCTCAAACGATCCGGGAAAGGAAAGAGGGAACTATTTTGTTCGCAAGTACAGTAAAGTGAATCTTCCGAGTCATCTACGAGCGTGTTTGTGACTGGGTTGGTTGATGATGCAGGGAGGGAAACTCAAGAAGGCCGGCGGGTGCCCTGGTAACCATGGGTTCCGAGAAGACGGGAAAACTGCTCTCCTATACAGAATTCGAGCTCATCCATCTTCATCCCAGGTTGAGATTTCCACGCACCTTGTTCCACGTGTGTCATGAATGAGCATCTTTTAAGACAATATAAGCTGTTCTTCGTACGTAATGCGAAGAAGAATCATCGTTAGATTTTCATTGATCAGTGAACCGCCATCAGTTATGCGTAGTTGCAACCACTGCAAAGTTAGCATGCGAAGACACATGCTTTCCAATTTCGACTTTTAAAAAATCCAAGTAAGTCTTCGGCGTGATAGCAGGTGACAAACGAATACCGATTGGTAATACCAAAAGTACATAAGCGTAAGATGCAATCTTCAAGATACTCCCTCATTTTTTTTGCCAAAAAAACAAATTGAATTTTTCCCTCACATTGTAATAACGCATTCCCAGTTCCTTCAATTTTTTGCGGATTTCGTAAATTGAAGTAAATATTTGCGATAACATGAAGCATTTTTGAATGATTGCATTACTTATTGAAATGAATTTTGAATTACGCCAAGACGCCATCACACGCGGCATGCACCTTACTTTTCATAAGCCGATTTCTGCGAAAAAATGATTGGATTTGAATATTTCGTAATTTCATACATTGTGCGGTCCAAATACTGTTATCTTCGGAAATAATTTACTCATTGAACATTCCATAACCCCCCGAGGGTAGACGAATGTTTATCTGCATAGTCTGAGCATGCTCTGAATAGAAACGAAATGGGATAAGCCAGGAAAGCAAATGCGAAAAGGATTTAGCCCTTTTTTTTTAAAGTCAATTGTGCTCCTAAAACGTCTGGTGCCTTGTGAAGCGCACCTCAGCTTCATCAGTAAATGGTTCATGTTCATCTAACTTGAACCATTTTTTAGTAAATGGTTCAAGTTAGATAAAGATTTTAAAGTTCAATTTTGGTCCTTCGATTCGATGGTGTTCTACGTTCGCGCAAGAGATTCTCTGGTGGCTTATGAAGTATTTGCACTTATCCAATACTGAAGGTCTGAAAAGTATTCATATTATGGTTTTTCACTCACGAAAGAATCCTCAGGCGAGAAAACGCCGTCGAAGGCGAATATCTTGGGGGCAGACACTCCGGGTCGACGCTCTGGTGAGGCCAGGTTTGGTGGGCTGTTCTCAGACGACGAATTCGAGGTCTGAAGTCGAGTTCCGTAATCCTGGATTGTAACTTGCTTTTTGCGCTTGTCCAGCGAGAGGAACTGCTTCGATTCCGAAGAAGCGTCATCGATCGGGGTAGTGAGCTTCAACAGCACTCTAACCTGGAAACAGAAATTACGACGATAGGACTCAGTGATCACAAGCGAGTATTAGGCGTTTCTTGGGAAGGAAAATAGTCCTTCGCTTGATCATCAAGTCTTATTGCAAGCTGCCTTTGCCTGGATATTTTAATAAAGTGGTAACATTGAATAATGGACGCTTCGCTGGATTAATTTTTCGAACGTCATATTCCGGGTGCCACCGATTTTTGCTTCGGATTTTGGACACTTTTTGAATGAAAATTATTCATGTTTCAAAAATAGTGAACTTTCTAAGAAAAATTTAGCTATACCGGTTAATTTTTCAGTTACCGTACGATGTTCCATTTAATGCAAAAATATAATGAGTACTGTATTACCATTTATTTACAGATGCGGCAAGAAAATTTCCAGGGGTTCTAGAATGAAGTAAATATTTTTTAGCCTACCTAATCACTTTGCGGGACTTTTTAATCCAATTAGCCACTTGAAAGCATAACATTCGCTCCGGTGATAAGATTTTAGTGTATCTGACTTCCCACTGGAAAGGATCAAGTCAATTGATCCTACATGACCAAATGAACATGCTGAATGAGTATTCTGGCAAATCTTCGGGTACTTCGGCCTGGATAAGGAGATGATCGAAGGAAAGAGAGGCTTGTCAAGTTCAGTTTTTATGCCCGTTTGGAATCATTTCAAGGAAAAATATTGGCCTGCTCAAAATATAACAGGATTATTTGAAGGCCGGGTAATTGCAAATCTGTTGCTCTTATTTTGGTACCGAGTATCCTAAACCAGAGGAATGTCAGCCCTTGCAAATTGATTTAATCCAACCTTCACTTAGTATGTAACCATCTAATCGTACTCGCTTTGAAAATTCGTTGCAGCTGATTTGAAGTGTTCTTGGTCTGTAGGTTTCAATCTAATGAAACGTACCAACTATAGTAATTTGAGACTTTTCTCGAATATATTCTTTTGAAAGGAAGGTCTTCCCAGCAGAGATGTACGACAATATGTCATTGAACAAATAATATGCGGCCAGGACCCTTTTCGGTGAAAGGCAGTAGTCATTCACTTTCCAGTATCAATGTTCCTCTGGAACTCAATTTTGCTAAAACAAAAGCAAACGTGCTTTTCCGGAATTCTCCAAACGAATCCTCTTGCTGTATGAAGAAGAATTCTTCGTATAAAAGAGAATCAGATTAAATCGAAGCTTCACGTGGGAATCTTATTTCTTTGTCAAGGCAAACCTAGAAATGCCGTGAACTCCTTCAAAAAACTGGGATACACCTCGGGGCACTGCTATCCAAACGGGCATCAAATCGAGTTTGTGATTGAAGTCTCCTAACAAGCGGTTTAAAAACTGCCGCCGGCAAAACTTCCGAGAAAGCCGAAGCTTATTTTGAAATTCAATTATTCCTGATCTTGGACGAAACGTGGAGACCAAATGAGACTGCTAGCACGAATAGCCTGCGATTGCTTCATCGCTGCAGGAAATTCGTTCGTTCTAGAGCTGGTTGTATGTAGAGCGTAAAACATGCCCTGTGCCCGGGGCTATGTTCGATCCCTCTGAGAGGAAAAAGGCAACCGAGGAAGCCCGTTTCGACGATCGAAGCCGCACTTATTGCACAAGGGCTCTTCGCAAACATGAACCATAACCGGAGTAAAAGCATGTAGCATTCAATAACATTTGACGGCTCCTATTTACTCTTTTTTCATTATTCCTTGAATTATCCCCAAAACCAATCCTCACGAGTCGTGCTCGCGGAAACAGACATCGTGCAGCAATAAGTAAGAAACAGATCCTTATTATTGAAAAACTTTCCATGCATACCTTGACAAAGAATTCTCGGATTTATCCGCGAAGCGTTTCATTTCCTCGTTCTGTCCAATTATTCACTCCTCGTGCGGTGCGGTATTTTAATTTTAAATTAGAGCAGTCAAGATGATCAAAACGATGAACTAAATTGACAAGAACATTTCCTACCTCCCATATTTCTAATACAGAATTTTTCTTCTATGCGATTTCTCCATTTCGAATGATGAAAAAATAGTCAAGCCATTTATTCCTGGGATAGCTTACTCAGAAAGGTTAATATCCTAGAATTTTCTGAAAATTACCGTATTAGAGAAACCAGGCGACTAAAAAAGACAGCACATTTACTGATTTTATGAGTGGAAAAGGGCAACAGCGTTTCTAAGCGTATTGAACCAAATGATTTGATGATTGCAGAGGAATTGAACACATGGGTTGGAGTGGGTGAAATGGTTTTTTTATATCACCCACGGTATAGAAACAGGGTGAACAAAAGGTTGAACCGAAAACCGGGAAACATCCAGACACGCTTACAAATGGTTGAAACTAATACTGTATCATTAAATGGAATTCCGAAAAAGGGAAGTGAATTGAAGGGCGCACTAAATAAGACGACTCTTCGTATTTTTTTGGTGGAACAGACAGCATTGTTTCAAGAGCCTCCGAGACACTCCGAAATTATTCGCAGTTTTCACGATTCGGGCTGCAAAAGTTTTACGAATGAACCCAACCAGAGGTCGATCGTCATACCGCATGATGCTCGGGGACACAAAAAAATTTTCGAGACCAGCTGAATTTCCCCTCCGGATAAATTCCGCGATCCCTCGACGTAACGAGGAGGGAAGGTAACACATCTGCATGTGTATGTTTCTAGAACATCGGCCTCTTCCCAGGGGAACCAAAAGTTATCCGATATCGGGTATCCGATCCTCTCCCGTCGTGTTTTCATCGCTTCAGTGCCCAGGGGCGAAGGATCGGATCCGACACATTTTCGGAGCAAACATGGGCCAATGCAACAGGCGCCCAGGTGTTCGAGACGACGTCAGGTCTGAATTAAATAGCGGGTGCAAATGGGCAGAAGCGACGACATCGTCACTCGAATATTATTCTTGATGGGATCTCGTAGAACAGTGAGGAAAGAAGGAAACTTTCTTTTTTCAACGGTCGTGACTCCGAAAGTGAGCTCAGAAGAGGCTGTTGAATATATTACTCGTAAATCAATATGCGGATGAGGGAGGAAGACGTTACGATGATGCGCATGTAGTAAAAAGGAGCTAGAATACTGTACCCTATCGCCTCGGGTAAAAGCCGCGTTTGTTTTTCTGATGAAGTAGGTAATGTCTATGACAGTCTATGTACTTGAGACTTTTTAAAAAGCAAATACCTTTACTTCCCGTGATAACGCTCCATAACGGCTCATCCCCTCAGAAAAGATGACGTCTCCTTCAACGTTGATAAAAAAAATTTCCATGCGATGACTTCGAATCATCAACTACTACTTTTCTTCTAACTAGCTGGAAGAAATTTTTGCTTGAAAGCTTGGAAAATTGTATGACAGAAACATTATCTCCGTATCTAATTCAAACTTTTTCAAATTGCAGTCAAAGCACATTCAAGGACATTTTGGGGAGGGGAAATGCCGATATGATTATTTGGAGAAAATTCGAAAGTATCCATGAAACTAGCCTTTAAACTGTTGGGTTTCAACAAATTCAAATGCGTCCCGTCGTCTGAAAGTCCTACTACTGCTGTTTTTCTCACAAATCGTCCAGTCCAGCATTCTTCTCTTCATGATTTTGAAACATTGGAAATATAATTTTTTCAG